CTAAAACGTGAAGTTAGTTAATATGGCCGCCTATAAAAAAATGTATTTACCAAACTGTATATAGAAAATTACATGCTTTAGCTTTACACTACAAGGAACGTTGTTCCCGCGCTAAAATTGGTTAGAAAGACACGGAAATATTAGAGTGAAAGTACTCGATACGAACATGTGTGTGAACTTTTGCTCATAAAGAATGTTCTAGATCATTTTTCCACACTAAGATTTGCTAAAAACCAGAAAATTATCCGTGAAAAACTCAACCAAAATTACAATTACCTACTGTAAAAACAGTATGCAACAAGGGTGGAGATGTCCGTGGCAACAAGCGTGGAGATGTCCCTGAATAATCAGAAACTGTAACTTTTTTTTTTAATGGGATATTGAGATGTAAGAGGGCAATAGGAATAGGCAAGGAAGTATAGGAGTTTTTGGTTCTAACACTTTTATTGAGGGTGGGATATTATTTTTTAACTCATGATTTTCAATAGATTTCCGGTCAATAGAATATTCTGTTATATTTTCGGGGTTATTCGGGTTTTTCAAAATGTCCACAGCTGCCTTACTAGGAATATCAGGCCGAACACTGTCTTTGGATACTGTAACAACCATGGTTTCAAGTGATCAGCATGAACATATCGCACTCTTTCCTCTGGAGTCATCACCAAATAAGAATTAATTCCAACTGCCTTTAACACCCTGCTGCAAACTGCGCATACCTGCGTTGGATCTAGAGATTTACTGATTTCGTTAAGATTTTTTATGATTTCCCTAATTTACCCAGATTTCTTCTGATTACCAGTAAGATTGCCTAAGAGTTCCCCTAATAACATAACCTCAAATTGAAAAGATTTTTGAAAACTGCGCATGTGGTAGATCTAGATATTTACTAATTTTCTTAAAATTTCCTCTGAGTTTCCTAAGATTTCCTAGGATTTCCCTTGATTTTCTCATGATTTTCCTTGATTGCCTTAGATTTCCTCGGATTTCCTTTTCATTTCCACTAATTTGTACACCAGTTTTCCCTTTCCGTTCATCTTTGAGGGATAAACTGTCAGTTTTTGTACTGAGATAAACCACAGATCAGTTTCTGTACACCATATTGTGATTTAAGGGAAAATCATGGATGATTTCTCTAGATTTCTTCTAATTACCTTACCAGTAAGCTTGCTAAGAACTCCCCTGATAACATAACGTCAAATTATAAAGGTTTTTGACAACTGCGTATGCGTAATATATCTACAGATTTACTGATTTTTTAAAGATTTTTCATGATTTCCTTAATTTTTCCCTGAGTTTCATTGATTTTTCCATGATTTCCTCGGCTTTTTCCCTCATTGCTTTAGATTTCCGCGGATTTTCTCTTGATTTCCACTAATTTGTACATTAAATTTTCTCTCAGGGTGAACCACAGGTCAGTTTTTGTATACCAGATTGCGGTTTCAGAGAAAATCATGGGACCCATAATTTCCCTGATTTCTTCTAATTACGAGTGAGATTTGCCTAAGTGCTTCCCTACGAAGAGGTATACTTTCAAATTATAAAGATTTTTGAAAGCTGAAAGATATCCTATGATTTCCTTAAGATTCTCCCAAGTTTATTAAGATTTCCGTTGATTTCCTTATGATTTCTCCTGATTGCCTTAGATTTCCCCTTTCTCCTAATTTGTAGGTAGGTACACCAGATTTCCTTTGCAGTTTAATCCTCGGGGTGAACTGCAAGTCAGTTTACCAGAGAAAATCATAGATAATCTCCTATGATTTACACAGATTTCTTCTGATTACCTTACTAAGGAAAATTGCCTATGTTCCCCTGATAACATAACCTCAAATTATAAAGATTTTCGAAAACTGCGTATACGTTAGATCTAGAGATTTACTGATTTCGTTAAGATTTCCTATAATTTCTTCTGAGTTGTTTAAGATTTCCCTTCATTTCCTCATGATTTCTCCTGATTGCCTTAAATTTCCTCGGATTTCCTCATGATTTCTCCTATAATTTTATAATTTGTACACCAGACTTCCCTTGCGGTTTACCCCTCAGGGTGAAACACAGGTCCAGTTTTTGTACACCAGATTGCGGTTTTAGGGAAAAAACATGGATGATCTCCCATGATTTCTCCAGATTTCTTGATTACTGGTAAGATTGCTTAAGAGTTTCTCTGATAATAGGTCTGTTCCTGCAGAAACCACAAACCAGTCAGTGTGAATTTCATTGGTTGAAACTAGTTTTTTGACTGTTTTCCACCAATGAAATTCACTCTAGCTGGTTTGTGACTTTTGCAGAAATACGCACCTAACATAATCTCAAATCACAAACATTTTTGAAAAATGCGCATGCGTTATATCTAGGGATTAACTGATTTTCTTGAGATTTCTCATGATTTCCTCAAGATTTGCCCCGAGTTTTATAACATTTCCCTTGATTTCCTCTGATCGCCTACACTAGATTTTTCTTGCGGTCTACCTTTCGGGGTTAACCGCAGATCAGTTTTTGTACACCAGATTGCGGTTTTCGGGAAAATCGTGGATGGTTTCCCATGATTTTCACAGAATTTTTTTTGATTACTTTATAAGTAGGCAGTAAGATCGCCTGAGAGTTCCCCTGATAACATAACCTCAAATTATAAAGATTTTTAAAAACTGCGCATGTGTTAGATCTAGAGACTTACTAAGTTTTTCAAGATTTCCCTTGATTTCCTTATTTCCTCTGGTTTTCTCTGATTGCCCCACATTTCCTCGAATTTTCTCATGATTTCCCCTAATTTGTACATCAGATATCCCTTGTGGTTAACTTCTCGTAAAACACTGAGAAAAATGAGAAATAGAAAGATAATTTAATGAAAATTGAAAAAAAGACGGTAGACAAGTAGACACATAGAGACATATTTTTTTATTCCAAGCTTATGAACTTTATTCAAAAAACACAAAAATTCTGGGCCGGGAATAGATAAAACTTAAGACGAAGAAAAATGAGAAATAGGGAATTAAATAAGAATTTAAAAAAGAAGACAAACAGCCAAGAATTCGGCAAATCAACAGTCGGGAAAAGACGAAAATATTAAGAAATGTAAAGAGAAAATTGAGCCTAGTGTATTTGAATATTCCATTATGAGTGTTAATTGTTAGTAACTCTTGATTTTGCTTATTAACTGATAACTGAAGATGAGCAATGGAGAGATCCAATACACTAAACATACATCCACCCGATACTAAGAAAAATAAGTCATCCATTTTTAAAATAGGATTAACAGTTTTCGTAAAATCCCCACAAATTCTGATATTGTTTTTCTTCTTTGGACTAGCTATATCAGCATGACTAACAGAAATTAAAATACCCTCTGATACTAAACTTTCTAGTTCCTGTATTGTCACATATTCCTCAAGATTCAAATTAGAACATTGCTCATCATATTCCTCTTCAGACTCTGAATTTTCTTCACCTTTAGCATATTTGACTCCTCTGGACCTCTATCTGCAGCACCTGGGTGTTTGACCTTTGCGTTTTCATACAAAACATACCCAGTTTTTTCGCAGGACATGTATCTTCCACACCGAAAACAATCACTTTGTGCTTGATTGTTTTGGTTCCAGTTTACCTTATTTTGTGAACGGTTTTGACTGTTTGACTGGCTTGTACTTGGACACTGACTGAACTTTGGTTGCTTTTTTTCACTGTTGACCCTGACATGCTTTGTGACTTAACTTGATGGACACTACTTTGTGGAAAGACTAATTTTGATTGTATATAGTTGACATTTCATAATGGCAAATAAACCAACTTTCCAATGTTAAATCAATATATTAAATATTCAAATAAGTATTGATAACTTTTAATAATTTCTATTGTAAACCTGTCCTACTGTCTTATCCGGCTTCAAATAAATAGAGCAATTAAAATTCCCATCAAAGCCTGGCTGAGTAATACCAAGAACCATTGTCGAAAAAAATAAAATGGTTTTTAGCAAGAATTTAAACAGTATTATTATTCTATTGTCCTCTTGTGGTTTTTCTAGTGATTCGGTCAAGAAAAAAAAGGAGTGTAGGTACAACAATAATTTCAATCATAATCAATTCCAAGCACGTAATTATTTGTTCATTGTTTCTGGTTACCAAATTCAAAATCGCAAATAATAAATTATCTGTGTAGGAATAAAGAAGCCGACAAACACCTTCAACAAATCTAATTTTAAAATCTGGCACAAAAATATAAATGAAGGTGCTTTTTGTACGTGGTAAAGGTTAAAATTTTACGAAGGCATCATAAACATAAATCCTATTGTTTATTTGTATAGTATATAGTACCACCTGTCTTATCAAAGTATACTAGGATTTATTGAGGTACCATATAGCGTGTAGAAAGTGAATGTCAACTTATTGATATTTGTATAAAGTTTAAATTTTAAAACGAACTTCAGTTGGAGAAGTCCAGTTCGATCAATTTCTAAGAGAGTAGCTTCTACAGTTCTACAATTATTTTCAACTGCTTCCACAGGTAAAATTTCTACTCTCATTAGTTTTTATGTTCCAGTAGGCAATCTCAAACTTTAAGCCAAAGGAACAACTCCTTCATTTACTCCCTACTCCTGATTTTCAATCTTCTCTTAAGGATACTTATCTTTGGAGATTGAACATTGTAGAAGGTTCTTAAGGTTTCTCTATCTCCTATGTTTCAATTTACTTACTGGCTTTTTAGTTCTTCAAAGGCTCTTTTTCTGTCTTCGACCAAGATTGCAAAGTTCACCTCATTCGTTTGGTAAAAAAAATTTAAGAAAAAGAATTATTATACTTTCAAGTCCATATCAGCCTCACATAATTTATAAAATAAAATCTCGAAAACGTTTTTAATTAAATTTTTATCGGAAAACCGATCGCTGCAAATCTCGCGAGAGTGTATAATTAACCGACCGCTTAATTTAAATTTTAATCGATGCATGATGCAAATGCAATATTTACTTGATATGCATATGAATGAATACATTGTTATGTAAAATTTTATTTCAGGAATCATGCCAGAAACAGCCACAACGTCAACGATAGAGGAACGTCCTCTGGCATTGTCCAGACGTGATTTTCCTCTACCTTCACCTGGAGGTTCTAATAGGTCGTCTTCAGGCAGTAGATATGAAGGACAGATACCTTATCATCATCAAGTAAGAAGAGGATTATATATTTAAGTGAAAAATTATAGGAATTTGATTTTAGGTTCCATTGGCACCCACAATGAGTCACCACAGAGAAACTTCAGCATTCGTCCCAGTGGTACCTTCAAGAAACATGCCTCACCCGATGCTTTATCCAGCCGACATCCATCCGCTCCTGAGCCTGGAAAACCGGGACAGAAACCCGGACGGAAGCAAAAATCCCGAGCCGCCAGCTGCAATGCGCAAGTCCGCCTCGTCTTTTGACCTGATGGCCATGATGGCCGACAAGCGCAAAGAGTTGCAGCTGCGCGAAGAAGCCGCATGCGTGGCTGCGGCTCACGCAGCCGCCCTGATGTTGCCGCACCGGCCGCCAGGACCGCCCGGCGCAATTATGGAATCGCAAGGCGGGCAGCAGCAGCACGGGTATCCGGGGTTTTTGCCCGGCAGTCCGGCTAACGCTGGGACTTTTAGTTTTCCAGGCGGCGGGTCACTATTTCCACCAGGTAAGAATCCACAACTTAAGCAATTAAGTAAATACAGACTAAAATCCATTGGTTTACAATCCAACATTCCAAATTTGCTCAAAACATCCATGACATACTTTCTCTGACTGATAAAAACATGTAGGTACTACCATCTGAATTTTTCTGCACTTTTATGTCTAAATATGTAATTCCAAGATCTTTAATCACCATCATCATCAATTAATTAAAACACACAAGAGACGGAGAAACCCGTCCACAAACACCAACACGCGTATCAAGCAGGTGAGTCATGTGAAACAACCCTGCACAGTCTCATCTCAAAGAGATCGCTCTGTATGCATTTATTGACATTCAAGGGGTCTTCGATGGTGGTATAACTGGTTGTTGATCCTTCTCTTGCCAGAGCATCTGCTTTTTCATTTCCTTCAATTCCTTTATGCCCTGACATCCATTAAAGGGTTACCTTTTTGGCTATTAAGGTTTTCCAAGCATTTCCATACAAATTTAAATTCTATTTCAAAACTGTAAAGTGTTTTAATCGACGCTTTATTGTCTGAGCAGATAAGAATGTTTTTACCTGTATATTCCCTCCTTTCAGACACGAGTCGATGGCATAGATTTCTGCTTGGAATATAATCTTGTATTCTCCCAGAGGTTGACTGATGTCGCATTGGCGAGTTTGTCCATATATTCCAGTTTTGGGTTTCGGTTTTGGAGCAGTCCTAAGGAGCAGTCAGTAAACCAGAAAAATGGTCTATGCTTCAAACATTTCCCCATGATTTCCTCGTTGCTCAGGTACCCTTTGATAACACAGACTTGATACTTTTAACTTCATATAGGCCTTTTTGACAAAACGTCATTACCTGCCCGAACCAGCCCGAACAATGACATGATGTCAGACTTTAAGGGCATGTTCACAGAACATCTTGAATTATATTACCACCGCCAGCTGGTTACGACGGTTGGGTAAAGGAGACTTTGTTTTAGCACTGGTAAAGGCCTTCTTGTACTGCGGTAGCATGCCACCAGGGACTTTGATTAAAGTCCCACTGAAAATCTAGGTAACTTTTTAGTAATCTGATTAGATTGCCTTTTCCAGTGCGGGTTCTCGCTACCTGAGCTGTACGCAGCTAGTTGGCATGCTAGCTCGAGGTTTTCCAAAGGAAATAAAAGAAACAATTTTTCTTAGTAAACTCTAACAGTGGTTTATTGAACAAATGGTAAATCTTGGTAAGGAAATGAAAGAAAAGCAAAGAATATACAGTAGGTTATTAATAAAGACTAGGTTATAATACTTAGTAGGTAAAAGTCACGGGCGTCCTCCACAAAGAAATGACAAAACGGCCTTGTTATTCAGGGTAAGATACATGTTGGAAAAGAGATTTGAGTTGTGAAGCTAACCCAATGGTTTTGTTCTCTACACAGGGGAGAAAATAAATAATAGACAGAAAACAACAATCATGATAAATAAATTAAAATACTTGAAATTGGAACATTACCTGAGGTCTCGGAAAGAGAGTCAGCAGAAAGACGTCAAAACTAAACACCAGAACTTCGTTACAGAACTGAATTAATCTAGAAGATTCACAGGCTTATTTATATTGGCAGCTTGATGACGTTTTTGGGATTCTTATCGGTCGCAAAACATGCGGTTTGTTCATGGAACCAGGAGTCGAGGGTCGTATTTTAAGACACAATCAGGACACTGGTTCGGGATCCGACTGATAACCCTTGGCTCTTGACACGGTTTCGTCAGAAATTCAGCGACTTAATCTCGCTGGGAAAAAAACAATTAATTGTATTACCAAGCGAAAAAAAAAAGGATTTTTAGGGCCGTTTTGTTACAATTGCGTTCTTACATTCTGGGGATTGCCGCACCTCCATTTCGTCAATTGACGGGAGGTTAAGCATAGTTTTCATAGTTGCTTTTCTGTGCACCGGTGACATGCAAGTCTGTTGATTTTGGCTAGCTGCAGATATGCTTGTCTTTACTTGGTCTTTGATTTATGTAGACTACCATACAAGTGCAACATATGTCTTACAACCGTAATGTATATCCAGTATATAACTGACGGTTTTAGTCCCCATGTTTGAACAATCGCTCTTTTTAGTGAGATCAACGTCATCTTGCTTTTGGTGGGTATCTTTGAAATGTGTTGGTTCCATGTCAGCTTCATATCTAAGATGAAATTTAACTTCCCTGCCAAACTTCAAGGTTTTTTGGAATAAACTGGGAGGTATTAAGTCCTCTAGATTTCTTTTTTTCGTGAAAGTTTTGTTTTGGAGGGGTTAACGCAAAGTCGCTTCCTCAATGATTCTTAAGACGTCCTGCATGAGGTTTGATACCGTCCTGGTAAATTCTTCCCTTGAAAACTACTATGTCATCTGCGTAGCCTAGGATGGAGTAGCCTTGATCTTTGAGTTTCTTCATAAGCTCATCCACAACTGGATTCTACAAGAGTGGTGAAAGTACTCTTTTTGTGGGCATCCTTTTTTTGCGGTTACTTTTCTAGAGGTTTCAGCAATAGTCCTGTGTTTTAGCATGGATTTGTTCCATCTGCATGTGGTATCATTATAATCGCATGTTGCCCAGCTGCTCTGTCTATGGAGTTGAAGGAGATGTGGTCAAAGGCTTTTTCTATGTCAAGTAATGTCACTAGTGCGATTTCCTTGTTTTCTAGCAAATTCTCTACTCTTGTCAACAGTTGGTGTAGAGCTGATTCGCATGATTTGCCTAGTTGGAAGGCTGGTTTTGGTAAAGTGACCTTTGTTTTAATGAGGTTTTCCTGATGTGCTTTTCAACTAGTTTCTTTGTCACCTTTAACATAAAGGACGATAAGCTGATCGGTCTGTATGATCTGGTCTCTGTCAGGGTTTGAGATAAAGACCGCTTTCACTTCTCTCCAGGACCCAGGAATATAGCTTGTTGTCATGCTGGCTCTGCACGACCTGCAGAGGTGTGATGCGACAAGGTCCACCGCCAATATAAAACTGCTGGTATTAGTCCATCTGGTCCCTGTTTAGGAGTTTAGGGTTTCCTGTTTGCTCGTGATTTGCGAGCTATAATAGGTTCCCCTTTGGCTTTGGACCATCCGATAGCTTTCTGGCGTATTTGAGCACCAGAGAGTTAGTTTGGAATTGTTGATCTTTAGTCTGTTGATTCATGACCCAAGGTTCTTTATAGGTTTATAATCTTCCTCAGTTTTGCTGATTCCAGTTTCCCGATCCGATGGTGAAACCCTTTCTTCCGCAAGACTTGTGCTGGCCTCCGGTGATCTTGTGGTGGTTTGGTCTGCTGGACCTTCCACCGACTTTGTTTCAAGAGATGGTTTGGTTGAGGCTGAACCACTGGGATTTTCTTCTACCTTCATCTCTTGCTTTTTTTGGTTTGTTTTTCTCTATTTTTGTGTTTCCAGAATATGTCACACGAGTGAGGGGGAAAGGGTGTTCAGGCTCTGCGGTGCCCTCTGCACAAAGCTGAGGGTATTTTGTCCGGGATGACGCCTGGGTTTCCCAGAGGATCTGTTTGCGACGGTGTTCCCCCACTGCCATGCATCCATCGACACGGGTCGCTTGACATCTTGGATTAGGCTGAGATGCTTCTTGGACTCGAGTGGCGGCTCCCAGAGATTCGCAATGGCATCTCCCACGAGGGGCAGACGGGGGATAGCCTACCGCCTAAAAATCTTGTTCAAGGGCTATTGGACCTGATACACGGAACAGGACTTTTGTAAGGCGAGAAGGAAATTGAGACGCACAATAAGCCAACAGCGCTTAGTTCCCCCCTACAACCAACCAACCACGTATGTGGTAAGATAATAACTATAGAATTAATTTTCTCCATAATGTAGATGCCACTTTTATATGCCAACTGCTTGTAATTCAGTTCTTTCAGGAGAAGGTGATCCTGAAGCTTGCTTTAGTAGTATAATGCTTTTGGAAGAAGGCACTCTGTATTTCCCATTCGCTTCAACGACGGAACCTTCTGGTTGATACATGTAGATTTTGTTATCCAGTTCTTTATTGAGAAAAGCAGTGACAACATCCTGATTTTGTTGACATATTTTTAACGGGCATCAGCGGCATTTCTCGCCAACGCCATAACGCGAATGCGGGCGTTGACGTTATATGACGCATTTCCTTTTTTTGGTTCTGGTTTACTAAGCTTCCGACGGAGCTAGCGTTGTATGCCGTCGATTTAGCGTATATTTGGTGTTAGGGTGCCGTATTGGAAACCCAAAAATATATATTTAGAATAGATAGTATAATTAACGTCCCCGGAACCACCCGAGATACAGGTTAATACATTGCAGCATATCAAGGTGCCTTCCTGAGCGCACACCCATATTTTTGGTGCCGTTTTGGGAATAGTGGCTATGACGGCAAATGCCGCGGGTGTCATTGAATGTGTCAAAATAACTCTAGCCCTTCGGGCTCGTATTACTCCGGCCCTTTAAGCTCGCGTATAACTCGGGCCCTTCGGGCTCGTATTACTGAGTATCCCAGATTCACAGATTTTTGTCGTGGAGGCGCGGGATTGATTGAAATAATGTCAGATTTTTCTAAATTACATTGAAATACCTATCGAAATTTGGTAAGTGTAATTTGTGAATTATTATTTTAATTAGGAATCAGGAATAAAAAACTGAGATTGAATTTTCAATTTTTTGGGGGAGGCTTTAGCCTTCCCTGCCGGGTCTATGTCAAAACGTCGTAAGTCAATTCGTCGTACGTCAATTCGTTGTAAAGTGAATATGGCGTTAAGTCAATTCGCCGTATACGTCAATTCGTCGTATAGACAATTCGTCGTAAACGCCATTTCATCGTAAAGTCAATTTGTCATACACGTCAATTCGTCGTGAAGTCAATTCATCGTAGCGTTAGTTCGTCGTATTTCAGGTATAATGTTGAAATGTATTTATTTGCACTTTTTCTATTTGATCAGACATTATAAAGTTTACCGAATTGTCGTAAAGTAACGTATATGACAATATAGATAACTCGTCCTTATTATCGGTAAGTTTGATGTCGGATTAAACAGTTAAGTACATTTTAACTTCGTACCTGTAAGTATGACAAATTAACAATACGACTAATTGACGTATACGACGAATTAACGTGTTATTAGTTTGTAATTTCAATCAGACTTTATCAAACTTACCGATAATAACCCGGTTAGTTTGCAATGTAATGTCTGATACAAATTGCAAACTAACCAAGTTATTATCCGTAAGTTTGGTAGTGTCTAAAATAACTAGACAGTGTGAATTTTTACATTTCAATATTTTAACATAATACCTGAAATACGACGAATTGACGAATACGACGAATTATCTATACGACGAAATATTGCTACGACAAATTGACGTATACGACGAATTGACTTTACGATGAATTGACGCATACGATGAATTGGCTTTACGGCGAATTGACGTGTACGACAAATTGACTTTACGACGAATAAATATATACGACGAATCGACTTTACGGCGAATTGGCGTACGACAAATTGACGTACGACATATCGATTTACGACGAATTGACGGTGACGCTTCCCTGCCTCCTCTGACGAGCCGCCATTGATTTTTGTTTGTATCTGTCTTTGTCTCTTGACGTAGTGACTTCAATATTTTTCAGCTTTCTGTCCTTTTTTTCCTCCAAGATATGTTTGGATTGCTATGCACATCTTCTCTCCCAAGATTCATTCTTCTTTTGTGTGTGACTTTTGCTTGGGCTTCTTTAAATAAAATTTTGTCTTCTTGTTTCTTTGTTGTTATTGTTTGATTATGATTAATTTCTCTTTTTTCATTAATGTCTATTTCAGTGCCCTTGTCCCACCAACCAACTACCAATGATTATTATATTCTTGAAATGAGGAAAGACTATGTCAGCAATTATCGAAACCTTAGCCTTAGAAATCAAAGAAACCTTGGATATTGCGCGGTAATTTGAAATGTCACCAGATTTATCTCCTTTTTTTAAAGACTGGTAACACATGACCTTTTCCAGGCTCCTGGATATGTACCAGTGCTCAATGACAAATTGAAAATATCACACAAAACCTGGAACAAACAAATTTACCTACAATATTCCGAAATAACAAGAGGTATATGCTATCTGGTCCTGCTCCCAGACTATATTTTAGTTTGCTAATTTTGCTAAAAACATCCAGTAAGGATAGCTTCATCTGCCCAAGATAAACAATCTTCCCAGAATCAAATTACAATCCTCACACATCAAACATGTCCGGTATTACCTGTGGGTTATTGCACTCTCCTTCCTATCAAGATCCATGCATTGTGGTGGATATTCTGAGTTTCAAAATATTTCCAGGAAAAAAATTATCTTTTAGCTGGCTTTCTAAATTTGTGATTTTACTCTACATTGCACTCTTAAAACTAGTTGTCTTTCTTGAACTGGAAGATTTTGTTGTGGAAATATGACGTCATCAGAAAAAACTTCTTCATCTGGACTTGTTCTTCAAAGTTTGAAAAACTGACCTTCTTGAAATATAACATCTCTAGCTCTGCAAATATAGGTATCTCATATGTCTATGGATTGAAAAGTATATATCCCATATGGCTTCTTCAGATAATAGCCAACAAATACCATTTTCTGGTTTTGATGAAATCAAACTTTTGTCGATTTTGTTCTGGCATCTGTCAAATGGCTGAAATTTACTTCTTAATCACTCCATTTTTCTTTTGGTGTGATCAAATATACCGAAGTATTGACAGCTTCAGCCCAAAGAAACAATGACTACCAGACCATTCTTGCATCATAGATCTCGTCTCACTCAAAATAGTTGGATTGGTGCATTCTACTGATAAAAATAAAGATGACTTCAACTTCAAAAATAAATTTTCATTTACATCAAACTATGAATTTAGCTATACCAGCAACTCCCCCACCTAGAGCTCCCAAAGCAGACAATCCAGCAACTAATATGATAAGGTGTAAAATACATAGAAAGTTGATTTTTGATGATCTCTGTTGCAACTTGATCTTCACTTTTTCTACCATTTAAAACCATCTCATCAAGATTTTTTTGTTGAAGGTCCTCCACAAATGCACGCCCACTTGGACAGAAGATTACTAAGAGCCCCAGGAAGGGCCTCGCGACCGAAAAAACAATTCATCTGCAAATTCTGCAACAGACAATTCACAAAAAGCTACAATTTGCTAATCCACGAAAGAACCCATACAGACGAGAGACCTTACAGCTGCGACATTTGCGGCAAGGCTTTCAGAAGACAGGACCATTTGAGAGATCATAGGTGAGTAAATCCATAAACTTACGGCTTTAAAATATAACCAGTTTTTTTTTTGATCCCATTATAAATTACGTTATTAAAATAAACGGTCGTCGACACAAAAAAAACCCCATATTTATCAAGGGATTAGAGGCATTCCGATGATGGTGTTCTTTTTATTATGAGAAGCGATGCTGAAGAAGTCGGTTTTGATGGAGGTGGGATTTGGATTACCACTGAATTATCTTTTAAAAATAACTTCAATGACATTTGATTTTTTTTTTGTGCTCAATTCTTGATTGGAATCAAGTGACATAGTATAGTATAGTACCTTCTTACTAAAACGATGAAATTTCAATTTTTTTTAAGTCGAGATTTTGTGTCCTAATGGTCATTTGGTATCCCCCAAGCTCCATACACTAAATTATTCTCAGAATTGAAGACGAAATCTATGAAAAAAGGCACTCAGAAAAATTGAAAAATTGATATATCACCCCAAATTGCTTAACACGATTTAATCTCGGGAACTATAAGTCCAAAAGAGCTGAAATTTTCAGCGAGTGAAGTCCTCTACGGAAATAAGAATCGCTGAAAATTTCAGCTATCTATTTATAATAGAAAAAAAGGAGAACCATACGAAAATATACAAGAGTGTAGTATGGTATGATTATTTATTTAGAAATCTTCAAAAACTGTGAATACTTTCAAGGAATTCAAAAGATTCTCAAGTCAAGGCCTTGAAAATTCTAAAGCTTTAATGATTTCAAAAAAAACTAACATTAAACCCAAAACTTTTGAAGATTTTAAAGTCCTTGAAGAATTCAAAAATCTAAAGAATCGTATGCATTATAGATCATGTTTTAAAAGTCCGAAATTGAGAATTTTTGAAGACAAAACAGTATGAAGACACTTTATGAAAACTGGGAGACTTTATGGATTCTAAAAACACTGAAAACCCAAAATCAAAATGAAAAACTTGAAGATGCCGAAATGTTCTGAGGACTATGAAAAATTTACAGATTTGGAAGCCTTATGATTTATAACTAAAGACTTCAAAGAATCACTTAACCAAAGACTTTAACCATTCTTAAAGTCTTGAAGACTTCAGGAATCTGAAGAAACTGCTTATAAATCTCGATTCAAGACTGAAGAATCAGAAATCTTGGCCACACACGACATTGTAAACGAAAAAAACTTTAAAAACTTCAAAAAAATCAATGAGAGACTCTGAAAACCTAAACTTCACGGATTCCAATAGACTTGAAAGACTTTTGAAGCTTATGATTGAAAACTAAGAATTTGGAACAAAACGCTGAAGAATAAAAAAACTTGAGGATTACGAATGTCCTGAGGATTTTGAAGAATCTAAAAATTTGGGAGCCTTATGATTTATAACTAAAGAATCTAAAAAATCTGGTAACTTTAAAAATTCCAAAAACATAGGGACTTCATACATAGGTTTTGAAGTAACTGAAAAGCCAATTTCTACAAACTTCAAATACTATTATGCATTGACATTAAAATTATGGTTTAAGACTAAAGACTCAGACATTTCAAAAACAAAAGACTTAAGAATTTGGAAATTCGGAAAGTTCTGACTTCTAAAACTGGAATTTTAAACTAAAAACTTCAAAGATTCTTAAGTTACAAGACTGAGGCTTAGACTGATTAGAGATTAAGCCTGATGATGGATAGAAATTACATTTTTCTCTTGGAGACCAACATCGTTATATCATTAATAGAGACTTTATAAAAATAAATATAAAACAAAACTCCAGAAACTTTGAAGATTCGAATACATTTAATTCGAATAAAATAAAATTCTTGAGATACAACATAGAGGATTAGAGATTAAGTAATTCCGATGATGGGTAAAAATTACATTTTTTTCCTGGAGACCAACATCTTTATCATGAATAGAGAGTCTATAGATTTTGGAAATGCTGGAAAACAAAACTCCAAAAACTTTGAAGATTTGGATGCATTTATAAAGGAATCTTTCAAGCAGGAATAAAGACTGAAACATTTAGAAAACAAAATACCTGAAGACTGAAGAATTTAGAAATTCCGAAGTCTCTGACTTTTGATGAACCTAAAAACTAGGATTTTGAACGAAAAACAGAAAAAAAAACAACTTTCCATGTATTTTACTCCTTATTCCATTATTTGCTGGATCGTCTGCTTTGGGAGCTCTTGGTGGGGGACCTGCTGGTATAGCTAAATTCGTAATCAAATTTAATAATGCGTAAATGAAATTTGAACGAAAAACGAGGCATTGAAGCCATTTTCAGCGTATGTTCAAGTACTAGAACAAAAACGACGAAAGTTGAATCCCAGAAGACAGAACATGGTATTTGTTGGCTATTCTGAAAAAGCTATGGGATACCTATAGACTTTTCAATCTAAAAACATATAAGTTATGCAGAGCTAGAGATGTTATAGATTTGAAACGAAACACACTTTTTTCGACTTTGGAGTTAATTTCGAACATTTAACCATTTTTTAAAGGAAAGGTGTGTTCGTAACAAAGCTATAACTCCAAATGAGTACCTACCTTATTCTTTTAAAGAGTAACTTATAAAAATAGATAAACCATTGACATCAGAATCAGTTGAAACGATTTTTATCGTATGTAGTTCAAGTACCGAAAAAGTGAATTAAATTGGTACTCGTGACGGTCGTCTTTCGCATCCGCCGACATCGGTACCACCGCTTTTATTCAATTTTAAACGCAGCTCTTGTTCTTTTTCCGTTGAAGTCAACAGACTCTACGCCATGGCCGAAGAACAGGTTCTTGATGGTACTGGAGCATTCGCCACGGGACGGCGATAGGGTCCACTATAAGATGATGATGAATCGAAATAGGTTGATTTAATACGTGACTTGAAAAATATTTTGGTACAAAAATTAGTTTATTTGAATGTGGTGTATAATGTAATTACTCATGGAAATTTGCTTATCGTGACTGCCTTAGGCGGTTTGCGGTTGAGCAGCTTTAAAAAAAAAAAAATGTGTCGTGGGAACCAGCAGCAGCAGCTTGCAAATTCTATTTATTTTTCAGAAATAAAACTGTCCAGTCAGCAATAATAAACTGACCTCGAAGTTATCATCAGCATTAATCCATTTACATAAATTTAATAACCTGGGTAAGGCTTTTATCTCTGCATTAAAGAAATTCCATCCGATTTGCCTAATTTCGCGATTAATTAAATGTTTTAATAAATGAGCTGTTTTTAATATACTGAACTGGTTTTTTTTTTTAAAAAAGGGGCGCCGCAATGACGTAAGCAACACCTCCAATTGTAATGTTAAAATGCCAAATAATGTAATAATTTTATTTTTATGTAGAATTGTCCATGGGTGGTCTATACCTCTGGCTTTGTAATGAAAATTATTTCGTATCTCGGGTTGCATAATTGTGAGAAGTATGGCGAAAGGTTGACTTTATACTATAGCACGTGGGCCGTCATGTTGACCACACATTTTTTTGGGATTTCGTGCAATTAGAATTTGATACTTTCTCTTAAAATGTCTACAATTACAAGCCTGAAAACAAGAACCCGCACAATGTTTGCTAATTGTCACCCGAGATGTTGGTTTACAAGAAAAAACCTTCATCGGGCTTGATTTCTAAAACCTCAGTATTGTATCTTTGAAGTTTTTAGTTCAAAATCCTAGTCTTTAGATTCTTGAGAATTCAGAACCTTCGGAATTTCTAAATTGTTTTGTTTTTAAAATGTTTGGGTCTTTATTCTTGAATCATGAGCTCAAAAACTCTTCTAGATCCGAATCTTCAAAGTTTCTGGAGTTTTGTTTTTCAGCATTTTCAAAATCTAGAGTTTCTCCTGATGATGAAGATGTTGGTCTCCAGGAAAAAGATGTAGTTTTTATTTTTCATCGGGCTTTAAAGTTTTTAATTCAAAATTTAAATTCAGAATCCTCAAAAATTCCAGAAACCTATTTATCTTTAAAGTTTTTGAGTTTTGTTTTTCAGCATTTTGAAAATCTGTCCTTCTTTCAGGAATTTTTAGAGTTTCTACTATCGTCACTGCTGTGTCTTGAAAATTTGTTGTCTTTGGTGTTTTGAATCGTGTTCTTTAAAATTATTAATGTCTTTTTTGGTTCAGTGGTTAACTTTTTTTGAGACTTTAGACTTTAGATTCTTTGAAGTCTATAGTTATAAATCATAAGGCTTTCAAAGCTTTAGATTTTTCACAATCCTCTCAGAATATACGAAATCTTTAAAGCTTTTTCATTCTTCAGCGTTTTGTTCCAAATCCTTAGTTCTCATGCAATCATGAGCTTCAAAAGTCTTCCAAGTCTATTGGAATCTGTAAAGTTTAGGTTTTCAGAGTCTCTCATTAATTTTTTTTGAAGTTTTTAAAGTTTCTTACGTTTACAATGTTGTATGTGGCCAATATTTCTAATTCTTGAGTCTTGAATCGAGATTTATAAGCAGTTTTTTCAGATTCCTGAAGTTTTTAAAGCTTTAAGAATGGTTAAAGTCTTTGGTGAAGTGATTCTTTGAAGTCTCTAGTTATAAATCATAAGGCTTCTAAATCTGTAAATTCTTCATAATTCTCAGAACATTTCGGAAACATCAAGTTTTTTATTTTGATTTTGGGCTTTCAGCGTTTTTAGAATCCATAAAGTCTCCTAGTTTTCATTTGCTCGGAGTGTCTTCATATACTGATCTGTCTTCAAAAATTCTCAATTCCGGACTTTTGGAACATGATCTATATGCATACGATTCTTTAGATTTTTGAAGTCTTCAAGGCCTTTAAAATCTTCAAAAGTTTTTGGTTTTTTATTAGTTTTTTTTGAAATCATTGAAACTCTAGAATTTTCGGGGCCTTGACTTGAGAATCTTTTGAATTCCTTGAAATTATTCACAGGTTTTGAAGATTTCTAAGTTCAGTTTTGTGTCGAATCTTTAAGTTCAGATGAAGGTCTGAACCTTATAAGAATCTTCAAAGATGTTAATTTTCAGGTCTTCATAGGCCAAATTTTTTTGAATAATGAAA